ATAACAAAAACAACAAAAAAAAAAAAAAAAAAAAACAAACAAAAAAAAAATAATACTGAAACTATATTAAATATATTAATTAATGAAATATTTAAGTCTACGTGGTATTTATAGTCATTAGTTGTGGAGTGGAATTAGAAAGATGTCTGTTAAAAGGTCCATTGAGGTCCGAATTTCTTGTAATTGCAAAACACTCGTTGAAATAAAGGGAAAAGCTAAAGGCCACGACCCCACGTAACGGCCAGCAAATAAAGCTTAGTCATGGAAAATCATTTGTTAGTTCAATTTCTATCGACGTGAGTTTCCCCCGGTGAGTAAGCCGCGCGTCACCCATTTATGATCCTCGCAGTTAAATCCGCCCCCTCCCCTCCCCTCCCTATCCGCATCGCTACAGGATTCGAGGGAGTTTAAATTTCTAGCTGCTCTTTGGCTTCCCTCTTTGATCAAGTGCAACATCTCCAAAAGAGTCAGGGGCGAAGAAAAATGTTCGCGCGACGATCGTTGCGGTGAGCTTTTATTTGGCTAGACTCGGTGGCGCCGCGTCGCCGATTTTGGCAGTTGTGTACACTGGAGTATGGAGTAGGTGGGTAGGGTAGAGAAGAGACGGAGAGAAGTGCCGAGATGCGTCAGAGGTAGCAACTGAGAGTCCATGACGGAATGCATGAAACCAATTCCCTGTACATGGAGAAAAGCGTGAATCAGTAGCTCGTGTGTGCGAGCATTGATTTTCAGTTGATGGACAGAGAATGAGAGAGAGAATGAGAGAGAGAGATAATGAGAGAGCTGAGAGAGCTGAGAGTTGAGAGCTGAGAGAGCTGAGAGCTGAGAGGGAGGGGGTGGGGAGATATGGCAAAAGGGCCGAGATAAACATGGACTGCACGCTTCGCATTGATATAATTGAAAGATAAGTGAGTCGGGACTCGAAGCTGCTTCATCGGTTAATATTCCTCTATTTTACTTTCATTGTTCCCCTTTTTCATTCCCGCTCCGCGTAATTCACTCCATAAGTGCTTGATAGTGAGAGGTAAACTTACTTGTAAGCACGATATACAGTGGATGTAACCTGTGCATTCATTAAGAATTTAATTCCAGCGAAATTATTGACCGATTAATTATTAATCGATGGTAAATTGAGAAAAAGGCTTATTCATCTGGAAATCTAATATTCTCGTAAGTATCACGTAATTTTATATACGTATATACTTCGATCTTTATATTACAAATGCTAGATTTTTTGTATATTGGCAAAAAATATTAAAAAAAAAAAAAAAAAAAAAAAAAAAAAAAAAAAAAAAAAAAAAAAAAAAAAAATCACACAAAAAAAGAAAAGAAAAAAATATGTTTGAATTTCTATATCTTTTTCAAATTCTAAATCTTTTCAAACTGCAAAATTGTATTGTTTGGTGTGGTTTTATAATTCTCATTCCCATTACTAAAATTGCGACTAAAATTAAAATTTAATTCAAATATCAAATTTAATCCACTATTATAAAGATAATTTACTATTAATTTACTAATTATACATTTAACTATATGTTAAATTTGTATTTCATGAAATTATTGTTTTTAATTATTAAATAGATTGTGTAATGAAATTATACGCGAAAAGAACTCGTTCACTTATAATTTACATAAACAACGACTTGAAATCAGATAAAATGAAATAAAATAATTTGCAGTTATATATATTTATTTATAAATACTTATTTATATCGCCGATAAGACAGTATTTTCAAAAATATCGAAATACTAGCAATAATAATAATCTTAAATGTATGGTTATTCAGTGTAAAACGTTAAATTGCGTGATATATTTATGTCATAAATCATATTGTTAATAGACTAGAATGAATAAAATGCAAGTTTGCGACACGCAACACACACAGAGAGAGAGAGAGAGAGAGAGAGAGAGAGAGAGAGAGAGAGAGAGAGAGAGAGAGAGAGAGATAAATTAAAAGTGAGCTGTTCAAGCGCGGGAAGCAATTTAATCAGCGCCTCGAATATTCTATATTACAAATGCAATAAACTGGCGTATCACTTGAGAAACAAATCAAATTGCCAATATTTTCACGATTGCAATCATTTCTGCAAAAAATCATTTCTGGAAATAAAGTAGTCTATCGTCGACAAACCAAGCATTAAAACATCAAAAAAGCAAGTAAGATATTATCGGGAAAGAGAGGTCGTAGAATGATATTGGCGGCAATGCGCGATCAGCTCTCACTGAAATTGGCTTCTCCTTCCAGGCTCGCTATCTCATGTTTTAATGGGCCGATTTCTTAGTCGGTAAGACGAAGTAAGGGAATGGGAATGAGACGGTGGACAAAGTGGGAGAAAGTATCGCTTGATCGAGGGGTGGAGATGAGGAGAGTCCGGATCACGGAGAAACCTTTTCACAGATGAACGAGCGTTTGTGCGACAATCGCGGCCTAAGAGCCGAGATTCCTCAGCGAGGGCCGTGCGCTCGCATGAACTCTGGAGCATCTAAGTACGCGTTCATCAAACAGTCACATGATCTTTGGCCTCTGTCGTGACGGTAAGTAGCAAGAAGCTCGTCGAGTATGTTAGATGACCAGGATGGAACCGAGGAGGCGTCCCTAAGAGCCGAAAGTGGATACTCCAAGCGAAAGACTTTACTCCTTTGTGGACTTTTAAGAGATTTCGCTCTCCCTCCCTCCCTCCCTCCCTCCCTCCCACACACACACGCACACGCACGCACACGCACGCACACACACACAGAGAGAGAGAGAGAGAGAGAGAGACACACACACACACACACACAGAGAGAGAGAGAGAGAGAGAGAGACACACACACACACACGCGCGCGCGCACATACCCTCATTCTCTCACTCTCTCAGCATCCGCTATTTTACTCGCTCTTCCAGGCCAGCGCTTTCTCTATTATACCACGAACCGACCTTGTCCTTTCAAAATTGCTAGCTGTCCATCAGAATTCATGTCTCCCTGAGTAAAAGGGATGTCTTTTTCCGATATTTTTCTCCGTAAAGTCTCTTGCTAAAATTTCACCTCCTATTTTTCAGTTTAGAACTTACTCACTTTAAGTTTTAAATAATGACGCGCTTTATTTTACTTCGTCGCTTCGGTCTTATTCTTTATGTTTCTTAACTCACTACAGTTATGTATGTATTTTATAATGAAGAAGTGTACGTTGTTTTCAATTTCTTTGCTAACGCTAAATTTAATTAAAAACTCATTATTTTCATTTTAACAATTAAAACATTGGTTTCTCTCTCTCTCTCTCTCTCTATGTCCATCTCTCTCTCTCTCTCTCTCTCTCTCTCTCTCTCTCTCGCACCCTTTTCTAATTGTCGTTATTCAATTAATATACTTTGTAAATTAAAATTCAAAGATATAACATAAAAAAAATTATAGACTTGTGTTTATAATTTATGTTTATGTATCATTTGCTATACATTATGAAGGCTTAAACGTTAAAAATACGTAATGACACGTCATGTTTACGGATAGATTTTTATACATTTATAAACAACTCAAATAATTCTTACATAGAATAACATAATGTTTGCATGAAAAAAATAATATTATGTAAAATAATATTTTGTAGTTATATGATTATTATTTAATAAACTAAAGGACAGACGTGCGCTGATTACAAACCAAAGTTTGACAGTTAACGACTCTTATCACTGAAACTTGTAAGTGACACGTACTCTTCATAAATCAGTTTATTTAATTATGATTTTCTGTACATAATAGTTCTCTAAATTACTGATTACAATGGTCTAACTGCGATCTATTAATATTATTGTTATTATTATTATTTACATGAATAATAGTATTTGTGGCTCATTTTTCATTAAAGGTGTTTTTAAAGTAATATGAGTGGCTTGACGATTCGCTTCTTCGCGGATGATTACCTGGACGAATATTCCATTACCAGTCCATCAGTTCAAAATTCATTTCCCTTATATGAGGAACGAAAAACAAGTACACATCGATGCAAATGACACAAGGCACTTGTAATTTTCGTCAATATTTCTACTTTTGCCCATGACAAGTCGATCAAGCTCTCTCGAGAACATCTCGCACTCTTGTCATCTCACATTCTAAATTCTCGGGTATTCATAGCTACTCCGTAATGTCCTCAATGGTCCACAAATACCTGATAATCGCTTGTCCGGGGGTCGGAAAAATCCATGGACTTGCCACTTTCAACTCAATTTTCGCTGTCGGTAGGTCCCTAATAATTCGGCCTTTCTGAATAATTCGGCCCTCGCCAACAATTCGGCTTCCCCACGAGGAGGTAAGATGCGCTTTCTTGCGCGGCTGTACCATCCCCCAATCTCCTTCCCCGTTACCCCGGCCAACAACTCGTCGCGACCCCCACCGCCATCCGGATGCCAGAGCAACCTCGTGCAGGGCCCGGTTCACTAGGTGTAGCTGGCGCCAGGGGCGCAGGCTCAGTCGAGCGGGCGCCGATCGGTCGCGAGGGTGGCGCGCACCCGGACGTGGGATGGGAGAGGGGGGGGGATATGCGCGCGAGGTAGGGGGGATTGTAGAGAACGGGTGTCGCCGCCGCCTTAGCCGGCGACGGGCGCTCAGTTGTACGCAACCGCCCACGCACGTAGTACGCACGCCAAGCACCGCTCGCACGTGCGCCGCTGGTCCAGCTCGAGGGTGGCCGCGAGGGCGAGCGGGTGAGGAGCGACACCGGGAGGCCCGCGGCCCTTTCGTCTATCCCTCTCCCTCTCTCTCTCTCTCTCTCACTCTCTCTCACTCTCTCTCACTCTCTCACTCTCTCAACTCTCTCAACTCTCTCAACTCTCTCAACTCTCTTTCAACTCTCTCACTCTCTCAACTCCCTCTCCCTCTCTCTCTCTCTCTCTCACTCTCTCTCACTCTCTCTCACTCTCTCAATTCTGTCTCTCACACGCACACGCACACGCAAATACACACGCGCGCGATCGCGCACTCTCTCTGTCAATTTTTCACTCTCTCTATCTCTATCTCTATCTCTGTCATTCTCCGTTTTCCCGGGCTATCGATTTTCCCGCGTTTTTCCCTTTTGTTGTTTTCATCATCCTCGGCGCCTCTTCTCGACCGTGGCCCTCTGGCTTTTACTCTTTGGCGCCTCCGCGACTCTGCTTTACCTGTTCTGGGAACGCGAACGAGAACGAGAGAGTGAGAGAGTGAGTGAGAGGGAGAGTGAGGGTGAGCTCGAGCGATGCGGTGAGAACGAAGAACGCAATTCTGTACGAGAGAATTTAAATGTTCAACCTCGACTTCATAATTTACTTCCCTTTGAAAGCTTAACGAATTGTCGTTTTCGTAGATTTCATCTTACGATTGCGCTTTCGATATTTATACCCCACGAGATACTTGATCGTGAGTATAATTATTATTTTTTGCTATTATTTCAATGATTTTCTTTTTCTTCCAATAAATGCACAGAACGGTAATATTCAATTTTCGGCACGTATTATTGGATATATTGAGTAGATAGATATTCGTGTGGCAAATATGTAAGTAGACAATCTGATAATTTGCATATGTCGACCAAGTGATTTTAAAATACTTTATCGAGTGTTTAAAGGGTAGCCTTCGATAATCCGAGATTTAAACGAACTTGATGGTATCGAGTGCCAAGGCTGTGCTAAAGATTACATATTCAACGACCTTTACACGTCAGGAGTTATATTTTGCTATCCGACAGAATAAATGCAAAATCTGTCCTTGGGCAATGCGAATGGGACCGCCACTTGAAAATTTCATCGCATCGTGCTTGGCTTCCTCGATTATCTATTCTATTTATCCTCATTACTATAACTATTATTGCTATTATCATCACCATCATCATCATCATCATCATCGTTATTATTATTATTGTTATTATTGTTGTTAATTTAGCTCGCATAACGGCAATTTTCGCGAATTGATTTTCCACGCAACGATGGTGCAAAAAAGTTCCCCGGGCTAATTGCGAGGAGTAATATTAAAATCCCTAACAATGCGGAACCACTTATGGGCCTCGAGCTTTTCGAACGCGCGCTCAGCATCATTATGCATTATTCATTGTGCGCCAATAATCATCATAATGCTAATAGCTTCTAATGGTTTCAAGGCTCCCCAGTTGCCGGGGAAATATCCAGCGAGGGGGATAGCGAGCCCGCTATTAGCCAGTTAAGAGCGCGAGTGACTCTTGGAGAGACGAGGAGGTTTCGGCGGCTGCGGTTCGAGCGGTGGAATAAGGGCCCGAAGGCCCCCGAATGGCGGCTCGGCCGCTTAGTTATGAGCCGCGAAGCTAAGGGCCAGGATTACAGGCTACGTTATTACAGGAGGGAAGGGGCCGTCAGCGGCCGACGTCGTAACCAGGGAATCGAGGTCCTGGGCACCATCGGCAGCCGTTCCTCCAGCCTCCAGGGCGCGCTATCATGCCAAAATTCAAAATGAAGCGCCCGAGCAACTGGAGGACGCGCCGACCGCGACGTGCCACCGCCACGGTGGTACTGCGCCGCACTTAATGCCTCGTTCGCCTGGAGCTCGGCTGTTTGCCCTTGGAACCGTGAGTACTTCCTTTTGCCGTTATACGCCATACGTTGCGCCTCGATATTATTATTGAAGCTTCGTCGTAGGTAGCAATAATCGCTTGACGATTAATAGAAAAATTGCTCCTGCTGAGGTCTTACTTACAGTATTTAGTAGTACTTACAGTGACGGTGCATGTCATTCGGCTCGACTAAGTCAGCATCGTCAAGGTAGCGTACCCAACTATTAAAGAGAAACATTAATGTTTCGTCCAAGTGTTACCATTGCCTATTAACACATTTACACACTTAATGTCGAATGAAATATTAATCTGAACAAAAAAATTAAAACCACATCAATAAGATAATCTATCGAGTGTCTTCGGATTTTCATTCATTTATTTATTTATTTTTTACATATATTTTACATTTTAAAGATTCACAATAAAATTATGAACGAGATATCAAGGACAAGGATAAGTAAGTTTAAATTCTAATAATCTATTGCCTCGATCATTTATTTTACGCTTTCCTTTAACTTTATTCTATTGCACATTGAAATACTAATTAAATTGATGTTGAATAATGAGTGAAACATATGCATGATGGTAATCCATAATTTTGAGGGAAAAGAATTTTCAAATTCCAAATTAATCTTGTGCTTAAATTTTTATGAAAAGAAATGTCCTTAAATTTAAAAATTATTTTTCGATATTTTTACATTATAAATTAAAAGATGAATAGTTAAAAATTCATTCGCATATTTATGCTATTTCAAATTACATTTGCATAATACGTTTAATCACAAATAAAATTAACTAAATTATGAAAATGTGTGTGTGTGTGCGCGCGCGCGTGTGTGCACGATTTAAGATAATAAAAATGACATATAAAATTTTACTGCAACCTTTGTAATTGTAATCTATATTAGTAAAAAAGAAAAACAAAAACGATAATTTCATGAGATTTAAATAATTGGAATGTAATTAGATTTAAATGTAAAATTATTTGACTTTTTATGATTTATCAAGTCCTCCTTTGTTAACCAAATTTCTACGTATCCTGAAATATGATTATAAACAATAAAAAGCTTTTTTATTTTGAATAAAAATAACAACGATGCTTATTTAATAAGTAATTTATTATTATTGATGCAAAAATTAGTTTTTATATGCCTGCAATTGTATACAATGATGTTGAAAATGCCCAATAAGTCCAAATGTATCTGTAGTTGTATGATCAGGAATATTAATTAACAGGGGATTTTATATTCGGTAATCATCCATATTGTTATATTATTATTAGAAATAGAATTTTGTTAATTTATTTTAAGAACTCGCGAGTAAGGAAATAAAAAAATCATTTTACTTAGATTTAATGAAGGGTTATAGAATTTTGGAAGATTCAATCTTTTAATTAATTCATCATATGAAAGGCAATAATATTTTTAATAACAATATATAAGAATTATAATGTGTAATTATTTAATTATTCACATTTGTGTATATATACAATATTCATGAGAATTTTAAATAAAATACACATTAGTAGATACGGCAATATAATATTATCCTTCAGCAAATTATAATAAATGAAAATGAGAAATTAATTTAGAAAATTACAGTAATTTCATTGGCATTAACGTCTGCCATAACCATATAGCTACAATTTCTCTTACATATCAATAATGCATATTTTCTTTTTGTATAATTACATGTTTTTTTTTTATTATTATTATTTGTTTTTTTTTTTTATTTAATACAGTGAAAAAATATCCATTCTCGCCTATGTGCAATTCTTTTATGATATTACAGACAATAAATAAAATAAATGTTTATATAACTGATAATTTTTAATGTATAAGTATAATCATTTTCAATCTTAATACTTAAAATACGCCTTACGCCACTGTATATATCAAACATTTATTATAATTATAGTCGAAATTATAATCGAAATAGTGAAAAATTGTACTCTCAATTATCCCATTATACGTACTTGTAAATTCTACCGTCAAAATTCTCTTAAAATATACTCGAATCAAGAGTGAATACCTAAGGTTCATAGGCTCATAAAGACGTTAACCGTATCGTCAAGTTTGAACGACACATGTGCGACGTTTATTAGGTTTAATATTATTTTCGAATCAAGGCAAATCCATAATTGTTAATATCTTGACATTATCTTCAAATTTAATATAATTTTTTAATCAGAGTTTATATTTAAACAATCATATGTGTCACTGGGTCAGTTATCATTATTATTATTATTATTATTATTATTATTATTATTATTATTATTATTATTATTATTATTATTATTTATCTTAATTGGTGAAAAATCGAATCGTATAAAAGAATGTTAATGGAAAAATGTAAATAACTTCTGTAATCAGATATGAATTAGAATAGCCGAATGAATTTAATTATTCATACTATCGAAATATGCATAAATATGCAATTTCAGCTTATTGCAATGAAGTAATTTAATAAATTTCAACATTATATATGTGTACATATATTTAAAATAATATGATTAACTAATGAAATACTTTTTAAACATTTATATGCTTATTATTAATAAAATAATAATAATAATAATAATAATAATAACAATAATAATAATAATAATAATAATAATAATAATAATAATAATAATAATAATAATAATAATAATAATAATAATATATTAGCGTATTTATATAATATACGAATTTATAAATTTATTTTTAAAAAATTTTAATTTTAATTTTATCTAAAACTATAATTTCCATTAGAAAACATTTTTTTTAAAAACACAAATGTAATTTTGTATATGTTCGCAATTCTTTTTAAAGTTTCTTTTGGAACTCAGTATTATTCAATTACTTAGTTTCTTTATCACTTTGCCCTTAATGTTTGAAAAAAAGTATACATTTAACGGTGGTTAGGTAGAAAGTAGTTGAAATAGACAAGCCGCTATTGTATATACGTGTTTCTTTTTCAACGATAATATCCTATGATCCTTTCGGATTAAGGAAGGATTCACAAGTTTTTAGTTTGTATAAGGCTACTACCAGATAATAGATTTTTTTTTTACACAACAAATAAAAGAAAGTACGAAGTATCTCTTGTTCGAGTCCATTTAAGAAGATGAAATCGTAAGTCAGTTAAAGCACTCAAAGATCGAAGAACGCGAGGGTTAAAGCAAAAGTATTGCGTGTTAATTATCGTATTTCCTATTGTATTTTTATATTATATTAACACTCTTGATGATGATGCATCATAATTTATTTAAGTCATTAAAATAAGAAATTTACATTCTAATTGTGATATATATATATATATATATATATATATATTTTTTTTTTTGTTGCTATTGATAATACAATTGATGCTATTTTAATATTTACTTTATAAAATAATAATTTTATTAAATTATGAATTAAAAAATTTCTTTCTTCCTGCTAATATTATTATCTATAGTGATATAATCGAATAAAAAACTCAAGAAATATTACTTATTGTATGTTTGCGAAAGCCAAGAAATGATTAAATTAATATGTAAAGTTTTCGACCTCGAAAATAATTCAAATAAAATGTTTCAATTATATTCCTTTTGAATAAACAGATTGTAAATATTTATAAAAATTATATTTTTATATACTTCCACAGTTCGACTAAGTACTTTATATAAAAAAAAATTAATAAAATAATAATAATTCAGTTATATTTATTTTAAAAATATTTGACAACATATTTATTTATCATCTTCTCGCTTAATAATTTCTATATTTTAACAAACAAATATGCAAAATACGTATTTAAATTATCTTCTATTACATAGAAGTATATTATATATTTTTCTATGTGGCAGTTATAAATAAGAAGAGTAAATATGTTGTGTAAAAGAAATAATTTTAAGCAAATAATAATGCATAACTCAGTGATTTTTTATCCTTAATACGCCATGAAATAGTACTAACTCGAGAACAATAATGCATCAATCTCTAATGCTTGTTGCTGTTACATTAACAATTGCTAGAACAATAAAAAAGTAAATCGGTACGTAAAAGGAAATTTCAGTAATTCCTTTTTTACTAAACGAAAAGACTGGGAATTTATGAATATAGGCTGTGTCAGTTAATGAAACATGCGACGATTAGTCTTGTCGTTACGTCCGAAATAATTAAAAATATTAACAATAATAATAGTAATAATAACAACAATAATGTCGTTTTAAATGCACAGTTTTTAATCCATCCACAATTGAGAGGCATCTGTCAAGCTTAAGCTTTTGTCTTTTGTCAAATCTATAATAAGTCTCGAAAGAATTACGTCGGATTCGCTGGCAGACACACATATGTATAATGGATAAAGGATAAGGGCCAGAAAAATAAGTACAAAGGACGAAAAGCAATGACAAAAGATAAGAAAAAAACATGATGTATGTATGACATTTGGTGCTTTACACTCCGTTAAAAATACTTTTTTAATCAACCATTTTGTGTTAATCAAGCTATTTTCATTGAATTTTTATTAACAATAATATGAATTTTATTTATTAAAATATAAGTTATTCTACTCCACTAGATGTAGTAGCATATATTGCTTTTATTACACACTTTCTAACATTTTTGTTCTCTCTCTCTCTCTATCTATCTACATATATATGTGTATATATATTTCCTACGAAGATACGCTTACATTTAAATACTTTCATTTTT